CTATGAACCTGTATTTGTATGCTACCAAAGGAGCTATTAAACCTAAGAACTTGAAGCCTGTTTCCGACTCCTATTGTGGCAGGTTACAATATAATCTCGGATTATAATTACTGATGCATGGATTGTGGTAGCAGCAGTACTTTAAGGTTGCCAGCCACAATGCTTAAATAGTTTCTTTCTGCTTCAGAGAGCTGAAGTTTGTACTGTATATCACGCAGTCTGTCTTCCGGTTGCCTTTTGAATGACGACTACACACTACTGCTGATAAGGACAGTTATTGCCACTCACGCATGCGCAGTGCGTACGTGCTACTTGGCCGTCGGCTGAAGTCTTTGCGGTGTGTTTACATAATTTAAGAATTGAGAAGCCTCTTGTATATATAAAGACTATATTATAGTCTTTATATATACAAGAGGCTTCTCAATTCTCAAATGTCCCCTCCTCGACTCCTCCGTCCTCCGGTAGTGACCCGGAAATGAATTTCAGCGCGCCATGTTGAAGGACATCTCATTTCTCTAAATGCACATCGAGGACCGAGCATCGAGGAGGCTCTCTGGAGGAGCTATGATCGAGGATACACTGATGCATCCTCCACGGCTCCTCCACGGATGCATTTCCGGGAACGGTGGAGGCGTTACGCACAGCCGGACTTATCTCAGCCAATAACGGCTCTGCATGCATCCCCTGGATATTATTTTAGTAACTGCTTTCATCACGACGCGATGTTTCCAGTGAGTACAGCAGAGCAGTTGGTTTGGTGTCCTATGCTTACTTTTAATACTTGTAAATACAACTTTTGGCCCGTAATTTCAATTCCCCATTTCAGCGACCAGAGAGAGGGGGGGGGGGTGTATCCAGTCTCTGATTGTGTTACGTTATTATTATTATTATGAGAGTGCTCTCATACTTTAAATTGTATATATTTATATAAATATATTTATGTGTGTGTGTGTGTGTCCGCATCTGTAGCCTGTTACTGTCTCATTATACCGCACTGTCAATGAATTAAAAGTAAATATATAAGTCGTCATGAACACATCTGTCCATCAGACAGAAGTGCTGTGCCTCCTGTCATCATTAATGGACGTCTCTTTAAAATGACCGCTCAGAGGAGAGGAGTTCTAATTTCTCTAACCACCTGCTGCTTCCCCTCCTCTCTCCTCGGTTCCCCTCCTCGACTCCTCCGCTCGCATCTCCTGTGGGCGGGACTAAGTCTCGAGGATAGGAGTCGAGGAGGGGAAATGTAAGAATTGAGAAGCCTCTACAGTCTATGGTTCCAGTGCGACTTTTTGGCCAAGACGCAGGAGACGTGAGGCGACACAACAGTCGGGTCCGTCGGGACGTGTTCTTTGGTGTCAGTTTGGTGTGTCAGGGCCTTAACAAATGCGATCTCGCTAAGCGGTCCTACGACGCTGGTCATCAACTCGGTAAATCAACCCAGGGTTTCTCGGTCCGGCTGAGAGCGCGATCACGTGAAAGGGGCGGGGTTAGCAACATTTGATCAATCACAAACATGGACAAGCGTACTGACATCGCAGCGTCATACTTCCTGAATGAAAAGTAAACTATAATATTAGACAAATATGAAGAAATTAAACTTTGTTTTTTTTTTTTTTACTTTTTTTTTAAATAAACAAACAGCCAGACAGACAACACAATAGCAGTTGGCAGACAAGTAGGGTGACAACATTATGATTCAAGTCTGACAGGACAGAAAACAAAAAATAAATAAAACAAAAGACTGCGACAGGACAAAAAACAACAAAATCAAGATCTAAAGGCTCTGAGTCTAAGTCCATTATTAATAACATAATGAAAGAGTAGAAATCAAACGCTGTGTATAAATGGAACAAAAACACCAAATATATCAAATAAAAACAGCACTTGTTGGTCAGTCAGCCTCCCACTAATCACAGTTTAACACCGCAGGTCCACCACCCTATTGTACAGAGACATCCGGCATGTCCAGTACCTGTATAAAGGGGTTCCACATCTTGTGGAATTTCCCCAGGGAGCCCCTGAGTATGCACCTTATTTTCTCGAGTTTGGCTGAATTTAGGACTTCTTTTAACCACAAGGTGTGTGTGAAGGGGATATTGGAGATTTCCACACGAGCAATATCAGGCGTCTGGCTAGTAAAGTAACAAAGGCTATGTAGGCTGTCTCCAGAGAAGAGAGTGGCCATGTGGGTGGGGTTACACCAAAACAGTGCGGTCATAGCATTAGGAGCAATCGGTTTTCCAGTGATTTCTGACAGTGATTTCTGACAGTGATCTAAAGATTTCAGTCCAATAAGAGTGTAAGACCGTACAAGACCAGAACATGTGTGCATGACTCGCCAGTGCTTGGCTACATCTGTCACAGATGGGTCCACCTCCTTATATATTTTAGAGAGCCTGAGCTTAGTAAAGTGTGTGCAATGCACTACTTTGCACTGAATCAGTCCATGTCTAGCACAAATAGAAGATTTATGTACATTAGCAAGGGCTTTTTCCCAAAGTTCTTCAGAAATCTCCTCCCCAAGATCTATTTCCCAAAGAGATTTAATGGAGTTCAGGGTAACCAAACGAAGAGAATAAATCTGAGCGTAAATACACATCATCATTCCCTTCAGAGTAGGTAACGGCCTAAGGAGTGTGTCTAGCGGTGAATCAGTTGGGTGATTAGGAAACTGAGGAAATCTATTATTAACAAAACTGCAAATTTGTAGATACCTGAAGAAATGTTGGCTAGGTAGTGCAAATGTATCAGATAGCTGTTGGAAAGAAGCAAATGTGTTGTGAATATAAAGGTCTTTTGAATGAAGAGACCAAATAGTAAATGTGCTATCTACTAAGGATGGAGGAAAAACATGGTTTGCAGTTAAAGGGGCTAATGTAGAGTATGTTTGGAGATCAAAGAAACGTCTGAACTGATTCCAAATTTTCAAGGATCCTTTGACAATTACATTTTTAGTGTAAGCGGAGGAGGGGGTCTTAAAAGAGATACTGGAACTACAGGAAGCAGCCTCCATTTCAAGCCAAACAGGCAGAGAGTGCTGTGAGTCAGACTGCAGCCAGGACTGTATTATTCTCAGATTTGTAGCCCAATAATAGAACTTCAAATTCGGCAGAGCAAGTCCACCCCGCGCCTTTGGTCTCTGTAAAAATTGCTTGGGTATCCTTGGGGTTTTCTTGTTCCAAATAAAGTTAGAAATAATAGTGTCAGTTTTACGAAAAAAAGTTTGAGGGAGGAAAATGGGCACACAATGAAATAAATATAGACATTTGGGGAGTATATTCATCTTTATAGAATTCATTCGGGCAACCAGAGACAGATTTTACACTGACCAGCGGTCGAAGTCTTTCTATACGCGGGACAAAAGGGGGGCAAAATTTGCTTTCTAAAGATCTTTAAATGTATCGGTCACCTGGATCCCGAGGTAAGTGAAGCTGTGTAGTGCAGTTTTAAATGGTAGACTATGTAGAGGGAACTCACGTGCCGCTCTATTTAAAGGGAACAATTCGCTTTTACTTAAATTGAGTTTATAACCGGATACAGCACCAAATGAGCTAAGAATAGAGAGAGCTGCAGGGACAGACACAGATAAATTAGAGACATAAAGAAGAAGGTCATCCGCATAAAGAGAAGCTCTCTGTTCTACCCCATTTCTGAAAACACCTCTAATGCGGGGGTCACAACGAAGAGCGATGGAGAGGGGCTGAAGTTTAAGAAGTTAAACTTTAAAGTAAACCTCCATGACTTAAACACTTTATCCAGGATAAAAGCAACATAGTTGTACCTGCAAGGTGAATACAGTGTGTTTGAATTCGTACATTAACAGTTTTATGATATCACTGGCACCCCATCTAAAACACGAGTGGATCTGACTTTAATTACATTTGACTCGAGTGTTTCGTCAACTTAATTTGTTGTTTTAAATAATACTTCTGCATACAGTATGTGACACTGTAAGTGTTTCACGGCCAGATACGGCTCAAGAAGCTGACTCAGATAAGGAAATATATGATACATTATGATGTGATATGATGTGATATGAATGATAATGGGACACATCGACGTCTGCACTCACAGTGTCGCGGACTGTAGTAGGCTACATAATGTTACTTTGATCCGGTTACTTATGTTGTGGCAGATATTTAAGTAAGCTTTCTTAACGCTAATGTTATAATAGTCAGATTGCTCTGAAGATGGGAGGTGATATTCTATTAATTGCTACGGAGCAGGTTTGGTGTTCAGCACTAGTTACCATGGAGATCTACCGCGGTAAGAAGTGAACCAGCGTCGTAGGACCGGAAACCCAGAGTTATCCGGCTTCGTAGTACAGGGCACTGCTCAGTCACCATCACAATATTTACACAAAAGTATTTTATGTCTCATAACCAAAACACACGAAACCTCCCCAAGAAGACCTGCTGCCAACATCACTCAGGTCAGGTGTGAGTCTTCTGTGAACTTAAAGCTATCGGCTGTCAGCCACACATTGGTGTGACTCTCGCAATTAGGGGAGTAATGCTGTCATTTTTTTCCGGTCATAAGGTATTTTCTCAAAGAGTGTGTCTAGTTTTCCTAAAGTTTAAAAAAAGGAAATCTTACCCTGATATTATGATTCTTGTCCTTATAGCAGTTATGTCAATACATGTACTTGTCATTGCAACACATTCTAAGACATGTTAGTCAATAGTTGACAACAAACTATTTAGTTCCTAGTCATTTGATTCTCTGAAAATAGTGACATAATGAATCTGTTTTTGTCACATGAATTAGATACTACAAAGAGGCCTCGCCATTATAAAAACAAACTTTAGTTATCATAGTTGTACTAAATTAAAGCTGGAAGTAGATTGTCAAAATACCTAGTCAGCAACTACTTGTCTTTCCAAAGCATACATTTAGTTTTTGTCTTGTTGTATGAAGTTATCCCCTGTAACAGCCATAATTGATGCGTGCCTGTCTCATATAGAGTACAGCAGCTAACCAGCCCCTCCTCTCTCCTCACAGTGACAGTGTGTGAGCCCCCCGCCATGTCTGAAGCCGTGACGGAGCCTCACAGAGCGGGCGGCTTCCTGGAGTCCTCCTGCGCAGCCTCCCTCGACGGCATTGTGGATACAGCAAAGTACGTCCACATCTTGACACTACCTGATCATGAGCTTAAGTTCTCTGACTTGGTGTTAGAAGAAAATGCAAGGGGTCACGTCGTGAACAAAAATGGGAAGAAGAGGAAACCGATTCTGCTTTATTCATTATTTTTCATAATTGAATGATGTTTATCTTTGCTCTAAAAATTATTCAGTGAAAAAGTTCAAAATGTTAATGTCAGCTTTTGCTCAGCTGCTCGCAGAAATGTGTGAAGGTGCTCCCATGTAAAGGATGAATGAGGAGGTTTGGCATGCTTTCATGATGGCTCGTTGTTCTCTATTTGCACAAGCATCCTTGCCTTTCACTAAGATTTTAAATGCAGATGAGATCTGATTACACCACCCAGGGTGGAGCTCCAGCTCTCAGTAGTAATGTACATAATGTTAGTTATTATCTCCTTGTGTGTAGGATTACTGTCCCGCCACTGTAATCATGGTGGTTTTTGCCGCTTTTGAAGCTTTAATGTAATGCAATAGAGATATCATTTTACTTTGAGAATATTATTGTGACCTGAAGGTTAAATATATATTTTCAGTTTGTGTTTGGAGCCACAGATGCTTGCCTCAGAGCAGGTTTCGATTTCTTCCTCTGGATTTCCCCCAGGGTATGACAATCAGCTCTCCCTCTGTGCTAAGTGGCTAATATATTTTCCTTTCCCTGTCCTCAGTGAGTCTTCAGGGGAAGAGTCCGCAGGGGAAAGGGAAGAGGAAATTGGTGCACATGATGAAGCCGCCAGCAGCACCAAGACGACAGAGGTCCCTGCTGGACGGACGTCAAACACACAAACGGGTGAGGGCTAATGAGTGAAGCTTAAATGTGTTTACTCTTCGATGTGTTTACTCTCCTCTATGAACTGAGGGTGGTGCAGCCAAATGCAGTTTGTTAAGCTATACACAGATAAATAATTTACTATTTTCTAGTTTGGCTTCAGTCACTGTGTTGGCTCTAGTTGCTGAAGTCAGCATGTTTGGATGTGTTTTCTCCTCTGACCTTTTATCCTCAGGAAGTGAGCCAAATCAAAGTGAGCGAACTGCACATTCTTTGGCACAACAAACTTCACTTCCCTTTTCCTGTCCAGTTTTTCATTGTTAGCACTTTGACATTCCTTTCTGTCTAAGTCACTGAGGGAACATCCTGGCACTAGTTCCTTTTATTCCATGACATTTGTTAAGTTTATATTTGACTTTGTTATGTAGTTACGAGAAGCTTCATAATTGTACCATGACAAATGTAGGTCTGTGGTCATCTGGTGAATAGATTATAATGTGGTTGGTGTTTACAGGGTAATACACTAAAATCATATTGTCAGTGCTGCTGGTGGAGTCCATAAGAAAAGAGTAATTGTACTGATAACAGCTGGGTATGTTTGGCCATAAATCCACCATCATTTAGTTCATCCGTCACCACACCATCGTTTATTGAAAACATCCTGCTCGCTGACTATCTTTTCTTTCAGAGTGTGTTTACTTAAGTGTAATGGATTCTCTAAACCAAAGTACAACAAAATGTTAGCTCACTTATGATGTTTCTCAGAATCCCTCAGTGCACAGGAAACTGTGGGTTCACACAACCATGGCCTGTATGTGACTGCGAGTTGAACCAGGAAGTTCCTCTGCAAACTGTGATCGACTTTCTTTTCTTTCAAAAAGTTTGGTTGACATGGACTCTTGCTTACATTCTGCATGATGATCTGATTCATGTTTTTGTTAATAATAATGATTCATTTAATTTATGAAGGCACTCAAATACAAGTCAAATGAAAAGTTGAATAAAACAACCATTTGTGTTTCATTTGAGAGTGTTTTTTTGTAAAACACTTAACAGCCTTTGCGGTTGGTAAATACTGAACTATTGACCTCGCTGTTTCTAAAAAATCTTTATCTAGCCAACAAGAGGTAATGGCTTCCATCTTTTATCGCTGTGTATCCTGAGGATAGCCAGAGGATAGCCAGAGGATGTGTGGCATCCACTTTAACACAACAAGTATTACACAGGGTGTCAGTTACAACTCTCGTGGATATTAGGTGAAAAGCAGAGAATTCAGTTCTGTATGTTTCTGGGAAAATGTCATGACAACTGTTTGCTTATTCTTTTGATTTTTTGTTTTTTATCCAGTGAGTACCCAGCGCCCAAACTCCCTGCAGGTGCAAGCAGCAGGAGAGCCTGGCCTGTGGACGTCTCAGGGCGACGCTGAGGTGAAACTGAGGATGGGGGACTCTGGCCTGGCTGCTGAGACCCCTCTGACTGTCAACCAGATGTTCACCTCAGCTGTGGAGCGCTTTGGGGACCATATGGCTCTGAGCTGGAAGGAGGGCGAGCAGCAGAAGAGCCTGAACTACAAGGAATACTACCAGACCTGCCGCACCGCTGCCAAGAGCTTCCTTAAGGTAACCATTGAGGAATCTAATATAAATCATAGTCTTATAAGAGAGGGTCACACAATCATCTGAACCGTATTCATTTTTTAGTTTTCATTACAATCATCTTTGGGAGAATATTCGCAGCACAAACCACCAACAACTCCTGTTCTGAAGCATTATTGATTTGACTGCCTAGCCTCAAAGAATGTATATATTCAGCTTTCTGGGTAGTAAAGCCATTTAATTGATTAGTTAATCAACAGCATTGTTCCTCATAATGATTTTTAAAGTGGAGGAATTTCTGCTTTTCTTTTAGATTTGTTGTCTACACTGTGAGGTTCAATCCTGGAAAACTTGGTGTTGCTCAATTAGAGCAATTCCTCGAAAGTCTCATTTCAACAACAAAAAAATGCATTGTGCAATCAAGTAATTCTCGATTGCACAACCTTTACCCTACCTTTTTTAAAGTGAGCACAGTAGTATCTGCAAAGTGTATTCTCCTTTTGTTTCGATCAGACCAGACGACATTTTAGTTTTGTACAGCCAGTCTATGCAACACTATGACGCATCACAATGGAGTCGGGATGAAATTAGCTTGACTGTTTTCGTACAGTACAGAGTGCTTTATTGTTAACCGTGAGACTCAACACAGTTATTAGCAATCTGGCTCAGCATTGTGTACACACACACACACACCACACACACACACCACACACACACACACACACACACACACACACACACACACACACACACACACACACAGACATACCTACAGTTGTCTCTGAACTTAAGCACACACACTAAACTGAACCTGAACCTCCACACATGCCGACCCTGTGACATGGCAACATGATCTGTTGGGCTTCAGATGTCAGACCTCATATTGTACCCTCTGTTGTGAAATACTTGAGTAATTTAAAAAAGCTCCTTGGTATCGATTCCCATTTCTGGCAGTCTCATGTGTACACTCGGCTGTATATCTGTTTCCATAGCAACACCTGTCATTGCAAAGTGCTTCCTGATCTCTGATCCGTCTGGAGAAAAGTTGATCCACTGGCAGCTCAAAACTGTGTCCAAAGGTTTCAAGAGTTTAACAAAGTTCGGTTTAGACTGATATCAGTCATTTCTATTTTATTGTATTACTTTTTTAAATGTTTAAGGAAAATAATTGTTTTCTTCTTAACTTGCACAGGACAGTGTCAAGTTTTATCCTAAAACATCAACAAATAATTTTACAATAGCAATATTTACATTGCCTTTTCCCCCTCTAGACAGTTGTAGAGATATAGAACAATGTATTCATTAATTTATACTTAAAAAGTGTTTGTTTTTGTTCAGCTTGGTTTGCAGCGCTACCATGGCGTCGGAATCCTCGGCTTCAACTCGTCCGAGTGGGTCATCTCTGACATCGCAGCTATTCTAGCAGGGTGAGTTTCATCTTCACTCTGAATGTGTAAGCGATGAGCGCAGTGTTCCCTCACTCAGCTCTGGTATGGAGGACATGCACACATAAACACAGAGTGGTGTGATCCAAGACTTGAAATGTGAGTTCAGCAGAGCCTTCACATGTCAACCAATTCATGATTAATGGGTTTCAGCACAATAGAGTGGCAAAGTCACGCCCTAAAGATTATCTTTCAATCCCGTTTGAATTGTGCCACGAATTACACATATGATGTTTGTCAATCTTAAAAAATCTTTTCCATGTCCAAAAAGTCACAGTTTAATCGTAAAACTGTTGAAATATAAGATTATGAAAAATACGCAACTAGAAAGACTACAAATCCCAGAGTCGCGTAATTGATGTCATTAACGTTACACATTACACTCGTGTTGCTCACCGAAACCTTGTAAAGCCGGTCCCGCATGCTGGCTCTTACGGAACCGACTAACTCCCCTTTTGTGTATGTACAGCTCTCAACATGCCCAGACTTGTAGTGATTTTCACCTCTTTTAATACTTTTCGCCTCATTCTGAAAGAAAGAAGTGAAATGTGCTAACGTGACGGCCATCTTGGTGTTGGTGATGCGAGTGTGCGAGACCAGAGATGTAGTTTATTGAGCGTTTCACACAAAAAAAAAAGTGTTACTTCACAGTTTTACGACACATTTAAAAAAAATTGACTTCCAAAATTATCTTTTTAAATTGACAAACATCATTATGTGTAATTCGTGGCACAATTCAAACGGGATTGAAAGATAATCTTTCTCTCTCCATTGACTTCGTTACATACTTTTTCCGAAATAAGGTCCCATGGAGGTCCCCCGGAAGGGGAGGGACCTAGCCTCTCTATAACAAACAGAAAGCTGATGGACTGCACTGTTGGACAGCAGCTAGATACATTCACTTAACTTTAGTTTGACATTTGACACTAGTTTATTTGCTGTAAATACTCATATCCTCATGTGTGTTTTTACATGTGTGATATACATATAACATCCATATATAAGGATTTCAGTACTTCTTCCACCTAAAAGTAATAACACACCTCTTATCTGCGGTGATTGCATCATTATTCAGCATCATTACATTACATGTCATTTGTTAGATGCTTTTATCCAAAGTGACTAACATACATTCAGTACTGTGGACAAAACCCACAGGAGCAATTTGGGGTGAAGTGTTTTGCCCAGGGACACAACGACATGCTGACTGCAGTGGGACTCGAACTTGCTATCCCCTGATTTGAAGTCCAGCACACTATCCACTGAGCCACAGCCTCCGCAGTAAAGAGAAGCCTTTCTTTAGCGTGCTAAACCGGAAATAAGATAAGACTTTATTGATCCCAATTTAGGATGTTGACTCCCATCGGAGAATCTATAAATTCCAAGTAATTAGGAAAGCTGAACACATTAATTGGTCAAGGGCAGATTAGTCTCAGCTGAGCTGGTAAACCACCAAACATCTGTGACAGGACATTGGGTTGTTGTCATGCTGGCAGCTGCCCGATTTAAGCCACGATTATGGATACAATTTGTATTTAATGCAATTCCTGAAAGGATGATGACAAGATTTCATTGCATGAAGTGGGTCTGGTTATACAACAGATAAGTACATTTAATTTCTCTTGTGTGCTAAGAACGTAGAAATGCAATACACAAACCAATACTGTGAGTTTATTCTCCACGCCTACCGTCTGCTGAGTGCTGCTGCATAACTAGAATGTATGGAAACTGCAGTTAACTTGACAAACCAGTGCCATACATTCCAGGTTAATTTGACTAACTGAGAAGTCGACTCACATTTGCTGCAGGTTAAAAAAGCAACAAAAATGCTGCAAGGTGTAGGAGCAAACACAATAGTGGTGGCTCAAAGCCCACCTCTGCTCCGCGCCGTCCTTTAGATGAGCCTGGTCAGATTTAATAAAAGAAGGAGTTCAAAACACCGGCATAAAAGTTATAACAATAATCTGATTTTAATACAGTAAAAAACACAATACGAAATACAGAGTGCCCTGAAACAGAACACTCCGGGCTCCCCGCTCTACTGCCGTGCGATACAGATATCGGGACCAGCCAGTCAGAAACAGGGGGCATTTTGCATGAAGAAACAACAGTATATATGGACATATTTGGGGCGGAGATGTGTGTCGGCTCTTCCGTCCCATTTTACTCCTACGGTTTTCTTACTGGTTGGATTCACTTTGGGTCGGGCCCAATACAGCGAATCAGAGTTCTGGGGAAAAGTATTTTTCTTCTGAACAGAGCGTGACAGCCTCGGAACTATACAAGGTCAGAATCACTTTTTATCTTATACCTGGGTTAACTCCTTTACTTTCCCAAGAAAGATTTCACACAAACTATTCCTTCCCAAACAATCAAACATTGTACACAGATATATTGGTACTTGGGATTATATTGGCCCCAGAAAGAACCTTGAAAAAGAACATGTGTGTGTGTTAGTGAGGGGAAGTGTATGTGTGTGTGCTGATAAGCGGAGGCATATGTGTGTGTGTTGCTGATATCTGGGTCAAGGAGTTTATGTGTGTGTGCTGCATGGAGACAGGAGGTGTATGTGTGTGTCTGCTGATGGGAGGAAGTGTATGTGTGTGTGTGTGTGTCAGGGTCTCTGAGTTATGGAGTGTAAGTAAGAAGGTTTATATATATATATATATATATATATATATATATATATATATATATATATATATATAGGATTACTTTAAAACAGTCCCAAATAATACATGTTTACTTTAATACAGTTTTAGAACAATATCTGTTTGCTTTAAAGGTCAGGTTGTTTTAAATGTCTTGTTTTTACTAAGAATAGAACAAAAAAGGAAACCACACGGCTCACTTTGAGACAAGTACCGTACAGTGCGGTATAGAAATGCAATGATTATTTGACTAGTCAATCGACTATAAAAGCATTTTAATAATCGGTCGATTGTTCTTTTCATGCAAACTTGGCAGAAAATATCTTAATCATCTTTTGGTTTTGAACTGAGAAAACATGACATTCAGAGACAACAATTTGGACACTGAAAAACTTGGAAAGACTATCTCTGAAATGGTCTGCGAATAAATCGATAATAAAAGTTAGTTGAATCCCTGTTTAGCGGCAAACAAAATCGTTCAGGCTTAATTTTAAGAAAGCGAGCATTGCTGCGAGTTTGTTCCAGATATATGGTGCATTAAACTTGGAGATCTGCAAGGTTTATAATGAAGCAGAAGATCAGAAATCTATTTTGGCCCTAAACCATTGAGTGCTGTAACATTTTATTTGACAAAATCCTTTTGTTTGTTGCAGGGGGTTCGCTGTTGGCATCTACACCACCAACTCTCCTGAGGCATGCCAGTATGTAGCAGAAAACTGCAAGGCCAATATCATAGTGGTGGAGAACCAGAAACAGCTGCAGAAGATCCTTCAGGTGAGATCAGACGAACTGATCTATAAAATACTGTGGAGAACTATGAATTTAAAGATAGCAATTCAGGATATTTATATCAACAATGTAGTTGTACCTGTTATTCCAGTAGGGGTATTGGCATTTTGCTGCCACTATTCATTGTTGGAGTCAACCATAACAAAACATTTTGAGTTGATAGCATCTTTTGCAACTGTATAGACATTGAGTGACAAAAAGTATAACGACCTGTCGGATGCGGATGTACAAACCATGTGTCACGTAGGACAAGTTTAAGAGACGGCTAAATGTTTTTGTAACCGTGAAGTTATTTTTTTGGTTTGTTTTTCAGCCGTGAATAATTTGAGTCAAGTTTCCTTTGTGCATGACTTTTTGTACAGCTATATCTGACTCGACATCAAAGGGTTTTTAATCTGCCTGTCAACATATTACCTTCTGTAAACCTGTTTAGAATCAGTATACACTTATGGATTTGGAGGACACAACTACTTTTATATCCTAATTTGACTTTTTTAGTCAAATGTGTAGCACTATTATTCCGATTTTTTTCTCAGTTATTATAAATAAACTACTGGCTGTGTTTGATTGTATTCTGTTTGTTCACAGGTTGAAGACAAGCTGCCACACTTGAAAGCCATTATCCAGTACAAAGATGCACTTAAAGAGAAGAGACCAAATCTGTACACGGTAAGAACACTGAATCTTCTCATGGCAAACATGGAAAGATTTATTTGGTTAAAGAAGCATCATCCAAGTGATTCTGTTTGTGTTCGGCAGTGGGCCGAGTTCATGGAGCTCGGCCGCGATGAGCCTGACGCTCCCCTCGATGCCATCGTCTCCAGCCAGAAGCCCAACCAGTGCTGCACCCTCATCTACACCTCAGGCACCACCGGCCAGCCCAAAGGAGTCATGCTGAGCCACGACAACGTGAGTAACAGGAGCCAAGTGTGTTTCGACTTGAAAACACACACCCGCGCAGCTGACACATTCGCATACAAATGAAAGTACTACACGTTAGTCAGGTTTAGTACTGTGTGTTCAAGACAATCCAGGTGAACAGATTACATGCTGTAGCCAGTGTTGGAATTTAACCTAAGTACATTTACACAAGTGCTCTACTTAAGGACGCATTTTAAAGGGAGTTGTACTTTTGAGTATTTCCATTTAATGTTGTTTTTCTCCAATACATTTATTTTACAATTTAAATACAAAATAGGTTTCAACTTGTACTTTAGGAAGTAGTTAGAAAAAATCCTAACCAGCCGCTGCAAAAGTGATGCTTATACATTATTGCATCGTCTGTTATAACGGAGTTGTTTATTGAGCAACGTTATAAAAAGGGACATTTTGGTGTTTAAGTTTATTTTGATGCTTCGCAACTGGCAATTAAAACTTGTTTCATACACGTATTTTATTCTTGCCAAAGTTCACTTCTAAAAGGTGTAAAACATAGGTCGTAAACATTCACTGTTGTTTTTGTTTACCTATCTGTGTCTCCATGTTTCCTCCCATACATAAAGCAATATCAAAGCTCATATGGACTGTTTCCTCTCTGCCTGCCTCAGATAACCTGGACGGCGCTCTCCACCTGCCGTCACGTGCGTCTGACGGACGCCACCGTCTCTCAGGAGGTGGTGGTCAGCTACCTGCCGCTCAGCCACATCGCCGCTCAGATGGTCGACATCTGGGTCACCATGAGGGTCGGGGGGGGCCACGTATTTTGCTCAGCCAGATGCACTAAAGGTAAGACACATCACTTGGGTTTATACACGTGAAAGCATGAAAAGCCAACATATATTGCTTGTTTTTTACCACAGAGATTTACGATAATTGTTGGACCAATATTTGAATAAAGAAAAACAGGGTATTTGAAAGCATCAGCAGCTGATACAAAAACATACATGCAGTGTGTTGTTGATATTTTCATAATATTAAATGATGGGTTTCTTTCCTTCTAACCATCTAACCATCAACCCCTCTAAATTCATGAACATATCCTGAGGGTAGCCCTATGTATGTGTTGGTGTATGATATTTTCATAATTATTATAATTGTAGTTCTCCAAAGAATGTTGTGGTGGCTGATTTATTTTTGATGTGAGCTTTGAACTGCATTTGCCATTATGAGTCAAACTCTCTTTTGTTGCAGGGCTCTCTGGTAAATACTTTGAAGGAAGTGCGCCCCACGGCCTTCATGGGGGTCCCACGTGTCTGGGAGAAGATGCAGGAGAAGATGAAGTCTGTGGGAGCCAAGTCCTCCACTGTGCGCAGGAAGATTGCCGTCTGGGCAAAAGATGTCGGCCTGCAGACTAATCTGACCAAGATGAATCAGTATGTACATGTTATGAAATTACAGTCTTTTATTAAACAAGCTTATGTCAAGTATTTCGTTTATATGTTGTTATTGCTTCCCTCTACATGGTGATTATAAGAATATTGTAAAAGGACATTTTTGGGCATCTAGGCACCCATAGAGAATAACAATTATGTGAGCCTGTTTAAGTAATTACACAACATGGATCTACAAACAAACTCTGTGAGGCTGAGATTTGAGCTAAATGCTAACATGCTGATGCTAAGCAGGTACCTAGCCAAGTACAGCTGTATTTTTGACCCAATAATGGCGATAGATGGAAAAACATGCTGTCGGCGTGGCTCAGAACACTCACATTGGTGTTTTTTGTCTCCTCAGAAGCGGAGCAGCTGGCCGCACACCGCTCAGCTATAAATTAGCCAAAAGATAGTGTTCAAAAAGGTGCGTAAGGCTCTGGGCCTGGACCGCTGCACCAAGTGCTACACGGGGGCTGCTCCCATCACCAAAGACACCCTGGAGTTCTTCCTCAGCCTGGACATCCCTCTGTTCGAGCTGTACGGCATGAGTGAGAGCACCGGGCCCCACACCATCTCCATCCCTGAGGCCTTCAAGATCACCAGGTACGCTTTACTTCTAAATCTGACACAGAACCAATCTACAAGTTATGCCTGGTGGTGAAATGAAAATGTTGAATGTGTTGCAGCTGTGGTAAAGAGATCCCGGGGTGCAAGACGAAGCTGCACAACCCAGACGAGGAGGGGAACGGAGAGATCTGCTTCTGGGGCCGCCACGTCTTCATGGGATACCTCAACATGGCCGAGAAGACGGAGGAGGCTCTGGATGCAGAGGGCTGGCTGCACTCCGGTGACCTGGGCAAGCACGACGAGAACGGATTCCTCTTCATCACTGGAAGAATCAAAGGTACATTCTATATTCCTTGTAGAGCTTCACAACACTCAAACAAGTGTATTGTTTACTGCATATGGTGAGATCCTCCTTTACAGCCTCCAAACATACTATTGGATATCTGTTAGCTTTAGGAAAAATGTTCAGGTGTCTCTGAGGAATAAACCTGCCTGTTACTTAACCTGTGTTTCTTTGCATTGACTTTTAGAGCTGATCATCACGGCAGGAGGCGAGAACATCCCTCCGGTTCCTATCGAGGATGCGGTGAAGGAGGCTGTGCCGCTCATTAGTAACGCCATGCTGATCGGAGACAAGAAGAAGTTTCTGTCCATGCTGCTCACCATTAAGGTGAGTCTTTAAACTGAGTCCTGAGGCACGGTGCATTGGTGGAACTGGGTGCACAATCCTTATTTAAAACTCTACAGTTAATCATGTAAACTTCATAGAGCTCCTTAAAAACAGACTTAATATTTAAGGATGAATTTAAAAGATCGTAGACAGGGAACTGATGGCTTGAGTGTAAATGAAATGATCATATCCTTTCAAATTTAGAAATGCACTTTTTGCTTTTTACACAACATTGTTTGGACAGCCATTTGTATTGGTTTAATTATTGTTCAAACAACCTGAGCAATGTTTTACTGCACATACTTCTATACGTTTATGTTTAGGAAATGGCAAATACATGTTTTTTGTGGATGTGTGTGCTTTATACATCTCGCTCCAGGTGTAGACTTTACAGCAAGCTTGATTCTGTTTCTGGAGCTTTAATCACATTTGAACTGGACGACGGCAGGGCACTGTAGTGAGTAAAGAAGCTGTAGATAACAAAGGGTGTAACAGGCTGTTGAGCACAGTCAAAGGTATCAGGTACAGACTGAAGATGTATCTTGTCAACAACACTGTATCCAAGCCCCGTAAACATCCTATCTTTACACCTTTTTTATCAGAGTCAATATATCAGTCTTATCTGATAACAAAGGATCATCTGTTAAAAGTGAAGCTCAGCCATATTATCGATTTCCTTTCAGATTCTGCCATCTAGTGGGCATTAAAGAACTGCATGCTTGTGTAGCCAAACAATTGTGAAAATACTTTAAGCTGAATGGATAAGTAATGTAAACGTTCGGCAATAACATTTTCAAATGTTTGACTCTCCAGTGCCAGGTGAACGCAGACTCGGGGGAGCCAGAGGACGAGCTGACTCCAGAGGCTGTGGAGCTCTGCAGGCGGCTGGGCAGCAACGCCACGCGAGTCTCTGAGGTCACAGGCGGGCGGGACCGGTTGGTCCACGCCGCCATTCAGGAGGGAATCAACCGAGTGAACGAGAAAGCATGCTCCAACGCCCAGCGCATTCAGAAGTGGATCACTCTGGATCGGGATTTCTCGCTTCCAGGAGGAGAGCTGGGTGAGTGGGGCGGGGGGACAGGTGGCCTTTAATCAGGGATTGTTATTTTCCTACCACAATAATCACCTTATGGCTTCCAAGTTGGAAAGCACATTTAAAAAAACTGTTGTTATATATGGTTTGCTCTAGTCACTAATCTACGCATCTATAATCAACAGTCAAAAGGTTTATTTTATATCAGAATTGCAGAGGAAACTTTACATCTTACATCCAAGTTTTTTCTTATTCTGAATATGTTATAAAATGTGGCATTCATAGAAGTGTTTTAACCATAATATTGTGGGGCAAGTGTTGAAATCTCTGTGTGCTCAACTCTGATCATGAATCCTTACGGCTGGGTTTAGACTAAAACACGAATGCAGTTAAAAAAATTAAGTTTTAAGTAGCCACATACTCTTCTTTAAGTGTTTTTAACAATAAATTCCTTCGTCCACAGGCCCGACCATGAAGCTGAAGCGGCCGGTGGTGGTGAAGATGTACAAGGAGCAGATTGAGAACTTTTACAAGGAGCTGGCGACTCCAACGACCCCCGACAACCCGCTGCCCCCCAAATAGAGCTGCTCCTCCACCTGTCTGAGTCCCCCGTCCTTTATCCAACCATTGTTCTCTTGTAAAAAATGTTTGCCTTAAATTGTTGTCGTTCTGTCTGTTTACATTTGTTGGTGTTGTACAAAAAGAATAGCCGACAGGAGAAGCTATTGTGAAATATCTGAATGATTTTTGAAGACGGAATCAATAAGCTGACGTCTACTATGTCTATTACTGAGGTGAACAGTAAGACAGAGTAGATGGAGTAGCAGTGGCTTTATGTAGGAAAATGTGTTTATTGCACTGCGTTACTTAAGATGAAATGACAGAATCCAAAAAAATGAAGTTTACATTTTGTTTCAGTATATTTCTTAATTTATTTTGGTTTGCCAAAGTTTACAAATGAGCTTCACATGAAGAAAAATGTCTAGAAAGAACAGCATTTGTGATCCAACAATCATCTCTAAATGTTTACTTGCCTACATGCACGTGGTGTTTTTGTATGAATCTTATGTTTAATTTGTTTTCTGCAAAGGAAGCTGCAGTAACAAAACGTTGTGTTGAAATCACATCTATCTCAGAACTAAGCATCCAAATGTTCTTGTGCTGTGAAAACACGTCATTGAAGCCATATCTCTTGCCTTTCGTAACTGATGTCAGATTCTGTTCTGCTTGCTGACTCGATGCAGATCGTTACACACCTGCCTGGTCCTGTGGAAATGTTTTCCATCAGTGTGTAGTCCTGCTTTGATTTTTTGTGAAATATTGTAAATATATTTTGCCTTCATCGTCATCCATCACTTGATTTGAGTTTACAGTCGATTTTCCAGCAGTGCAGAACTCGCATGAACAGTTTTTGGGACTCAAACAAGTGCGCCTGGACTTAGAAATGTACATAAATTAGATCACATGTAGCTTTATGGCCAATATATCAACTTGTCTGTGCCATCCCTTATGCATCATCACTCGTCAACATGTTTTGACCACATATCTTCAGCCTCTTTGAAGACATTACTTACGCCTTCAAAGCAAAAGTCAAATACCTTGTATATAAATGAATTGTGTATATAATAAGCAAAGTTATTGGTAGCACTCGAGTTAGTGAAGGTTATGGTTCTCATGAAGTTCAGGGTAAACAATAAACTAAGGAAATGACGGTGATTCAGTGTGTCTGAGTTACCTGACCCGAAAGAGCTGTTGTTAATATCAGGGTTGAAAAAGATGGAAATCTGCATGAAGCTACCGAAAAAAGGATGCAGGCCTGTTTCTGTCTACAGACGTGAATGTTTGTGTGTTTGAGTGTCAGAATAAAAGTTGATTGAGCTGATGTGCTGAACTTTGTTGCTCTTCTGTTCGTCTTTTATAATGTTTCCCATTTGAGCTAATTATTTTATTCTTTCATGTAAAAAGAAGCAAGTACAATGTAAAAAAACGAATGAAGCAGTTATTACTACAATACAACACTACCACAAACCCACAGCCTGAAAATATGTCAAATATTGTCAAAACACAAACAATTTCTGGAATTGCTTCGACAAGACTTCTTTGAATTTGCAGAAAAATAAAAGTGACTTACTTATACTGCCGGCTACAAGCTAAATGAAAACAAATTAATTAAAACATATGGTCTGTTCATCTTCCTGGACGAGCTGTTAAGTTATTAGTAAGTATAGTATTGTGCTTGTCCTGCTACAAGTCAAAATGTCTGCTTGGATTAATTAGTGCCCGATTAGAAGCAGGTGTGTTCAGCCGACATTCATACAACAGGTTGAAAAGACTATTTGATTTTTAGGTAATTAGGGTCCAAGTCAATTCCAATGAAGTGAAAATTCAAAAACACTTCCCAGTTAATTTGTACATATTTGTTCAAGTTAGAAATAAAGGGATATTTCACCAGGAAACTATATAGCTCTATATGTAATGTTACACTGCAATTTCAAATAATTGTATTTATCAATTAGGCCTATTATAACAAGTCAACAAATGTAAAAAATCCATTATGTTTTTCCAGTGAGTTTTAGGCATTTTCTTTCAATAAAGAGACTAAAACAACAGTTGTTGATTTACTAATGGACTCATCAAATAACTCAAAAGCCGTTTCATTAATGTTTTTTCGATATTCACTATTTAAATAAAACAAAAGATCAAAACATCTGTTCAGAAATTCTAAATATGAATTTGTACCTTTGCTCCCCATGGTCTATCACACGACATTAAAGAGACAGATGACTCGGTATGAGCGGTAAAAACTCACTTTCCTTTTGCTCCGTGCAGAGCTACGTCACAGAGCCCAATTTATTGATCAACCCTCCCTCCCTCTAGTGACACTTCCTTGATAGATGGGCATTACGCCCGGCCCACTGCGTGCCCTTTTCACCCCGCAGACTGCAGTGACCACCACACGACCTTTACATGACCCCTGCACTCGGCCATGACCGGGTCACTGAGCAGTCAATGAGGATCAGACACACACAGGAGCAACAGTACTTAATGACTTTATTAATAATATGATTTCGAAATAAAAAATAACATTAAAATAACATGTTTTTCCTTGTTAACAACTTGCATCATATGGCCACATGGTGGCATTGTAATGCCAAGTCTTTATTTTCAAAAAATACCAAATTGTTCTGCACATCCAGTTCATTTGTTCTGCTTGGACCACATATATGGAACACAATTCGGACTCCACCCTCCCCCCTTTACCCCCAGTTAAAAAAATCAAACCTTTATAAATACAGGCAACCCTGTGCCCCTGTCACAGACACATCATGACGACCACTGACACAGGAAACATCCCGTCTGCACATGCCTCCTCCCACCCCCCCTCAACATATTTGCAAAAACAAAACAAAAAGTCCTCCACCTTTAAAGATCCACACAGTAGATATTCTACCTTCGCTGTATTATACATGTATTATATATAATATTGTCTCAGCTGAAATGATGCCGCACTCCCACAGACTTGCACAGAGTTGCTGAGTGAGAGGGACCTGAAGGGTTTCCCCTTTTTCTTTATTTATACCCTCAGTGTTGCCCAACATAGAACTCTCCCGGATAATGTACTGATCATAAATGTTACAATTTCTAGAAGTTTCTGAGACAAAAGGAGTCTCTATGGCTTGGCGGAAAGTTCCTAAAAACTACTCCACCCATGAGCCTCCGCGCTCTTTGCCATGGAGAAGGAGCCAATCAGAAGCACACGCCATATTTGCCAAATGTATGTATTAGTGACCACACAATGTATAGTGAACAGAGTTAAACAGCAGAATGTAAAATCAAGGAATGTGACAGATTTTAAACTTGGTGATTACATGATTCTTGCCTCAAATGCTCCTTGGGAGTTGTAGTTAATCAACCAGATATAGACTAAATTACTGAATCGGAAGAGTTTAATGCTAAAACAAAGCAACACTGTGCGGTAAAAATGAAAGGCAGAGCAAAACAGAGCTCCCCCCCACTTCACAACTCTATTGTTTCCTATGATGTGTTTCTTCAGGCTTTAAGTTATCATAACATAACTACATTAGGTGACCGTTTCTGGTAAAAACAATGAATGAGTTGACAGGACATGAGGCAGAAAAAATACATTTTCAGTTCCCTGAACCAAAGTGTTTTTACTCCTCTTGTCCATGTTCTGGTTCAGTTTTTCCTACTGGAAGAAGAGGTGATAAAGTTGAGCTCATCCAGCAAAAGTTTTCCTACACCTGTTTCTTGGTGTTCAGCTGTCATCAGAATTGTGACACACAAAAACATACCGGAGACTTCCCCCATAACGTTTGACGCCTAAAATAGATCCAACAGGCATGTTTGGTTGTGAATAATAGTGACAAATCATGCCAAATTAAAGACAATTAAATAAGAAACAAACGAAAAAAGGTTGGCAAATGAAAAAAAGAATCAATTAATATCGTATTGCATGTAAATATTGTATAAAATCCTTAAAAATACAGTTCAGGTAACTACGTAAGTACTGAAGTCATCACAGCCAAAAGTGCAGAGGTCCATAAATAAAACATTGACTGTGGGCAGACAGTGGGGCTTCTCTCGAGTCCCCACGTTACCTCCCCTTCTCAAACACCGCAGAGGACTGAAAGAGTGCCCGGTCAAAGGTCAGAGTTCATGAACGAGGACTTTAAAGTTCCCACATCGATGCACAGAGGAGAGGACAGGAAGGTCCCGTCGCTGACAAACACACTCACAGATGCAAACGCACTCACACAAGTTGCAAAGTTCATTCTCAGTAATTATGGCCTCACGGAAGTTCAGTTGTCAGAGGCACACCTAGAGAAAAGGAGAGTGGGGCCGGGGAAGAAGTGAGGGCAGGGGGGTTACTGCAGGGCACATAAGGCGGCAGGAATCCAGGTTATTTTTCCATTGTTGAGACATTTTCTGTGTTCAGACGGCGTTTACAGTGAGGGAGTGTGTGCATGATGAGCCAGGCAGGCAACAGAACAAGAGAGAGAAGTATTAAAGCTATCGAAGCGTCAGAATAAAAACACTGTCGGCAAGGAGAAAACAGAGGAGGGGAGGGAGGGAATCCCTCAGTGAAGGTTTGTACCACAGTGTGTGTGTATGTGTGTGTAGGAAGCCTAAAGGGGCCACAGGAACTAACACACCAGGGGCCTGAATCAAGAAGCAAGTTCACCTCATTGGCTTTCTTTGGGTGTTTTCTGGCTTCATAAAAACACTGGGGATCCTGGAAACCGGTCTCAAAAAGCTGGCTCTGTTCACCCACATTATGTGTAACAACAAGTCAGCATTTTAGCACAAACTGTGGAGATCTCTTTTTTGGAAATGTTGTCAGTGCAGTAGCAAAAAGTTATATTCAGTGAGTTAAAAAAAGATACAAAAATGTACAGTAATTGTAACAATATTTACATATATAACATTAAAGAATAATGCTCAAATAATGCAATAATCAACTACTAAATGTAATAGACCATGGCTAAAAGTGGGCATTATTTTATTGGCTTTATTCTCTTTTCTTTATCAACTCCATTATTAACATGTTCAAGAGTGATAAGCAATTGATAATGGTCATTTGTGCTTCAGTGTTTGTCGATGAAAAACAAATGTATAAGTAACACTGTCTGATGCAAAAAGCTGAAGAGTACTATGTGTACACGAGAAGGACATTTATCTCAAATGATTGCTCATGATTCTACGGCCACAGCAAGCAGTTGGCTGGCTGTCAGCTGTATATTTGAAGAGGTTAAACATATGGATACCTGAAACTTGGATCCTGTCAGTGCAAATTCAGTTGTATCCACAGCAACTAAACTAAAGGTGTAAAAGAGGATCTCACCAGTTTTACTTCATTTGGAAAGTGTCTGCTACATAGGTGTGATAATGTGTCATAAAAGACTCAACATAAGTTCAGTCTTCTAGAAGCTAATTTTCCATTAAATACAAATTGTTAAAATGAAGATACCATTAGGGAGTTTTTCTCTCGACTCATGATCAGGGTCCATTTCAACTAATTTGTGTTTGTGCTAGAGTCAATACCTTAAATGTCTTCTTTAGTTAGCATATAAAGCTAAGTGAGTTTACTGATGAGTAAACATGTTGCTTTGTGCTCGGTATTACTAATCGTTTACAGTGAGCCAGCTTTGTGAAACTGTCAGCTTGGTTAAAGTTATCAGCCAGAACTCTGAACTTACTTCATGTTTCAGGCCTCTGAGATATCCATTTCAGATATTTAGGGAAAGAAAACACAAGGAGGGTTTTCTTTAGCTTATGTTTTTGCCTACACACCCTTTGTGAATGCTCTTCAAGTTCCTGGTAACTTAGTATCAAACACTTCACCCGTAGTTCTAATTCTTCCAACAGCTTGAAGAAGGAACCCCGACCCTATTCAACGACAACCGTCTCACAAAACACACGACAAAGCTGAAGCAACCGTTACTAGAGCTAATGAATGTGATCAACTACCACGCAGACCTCTTCAAAACACTGAACCTAATCTCACAAAGCAGGAAGATGAAAACATGAAGACCACCATCAGGGAGATATAGCAGTCAGTGCTATAAAGACACTGGAGAAGGAGAAGGAGAAGCAGGGATGGAAGCCGTTAAGACAATACTGGATTTTCAGGCATCCCTTTTAACACTTGTTTCCCCGAGGGGGGTATTTGGGGCGGGGGGGTTTCAATCTGTGTGACCATGGCTAACAGAGTGCACACCCCCCCTCACACTGCAAGTCGCAGAAAAAGGCACTAGAGTGGGGCTGTTGCTAGCCGTAGAAAAGTAAAAGCGATATACATTCATAGCTCACAGGTTATCTTAACCGCAGTCTGGGAATAAATACACAAAACGCACTTGTAGAAAAATAAAATGTAAAAAGGCGTGGCCCCTATTAATTTTTTTCTTATTTTTGGATTCTGGGAGACAAGTATGGCTACTTTTTCACGGCTTTTTAAACCCCCTTCCCACCCTCCCCTACCCACCACTTAGAAGGCAATTCAGGAGTGATCCTCCACTGCTCTGGCCGCGAGCAGTCGAGCCCTTTCATGCACGCCAATATGAGAAACAGGGAGGAGGGATGAGGTGAGGGGGCTTCAGAGGGAGGGGGGGGGCATTGGTAGGAGGTCAAGGCTCAGCTTTCAGTGTGAGGAAGTAGAGGAGAAACTCAACAGAACATGTGTTCAGACAACAGAAACCTCATGCAGGAAAGACTCACACACAGCACACGTCTCAGTGTTATGTGTACAGTGATAGGAACACAGAGACAAATTCTGGGTACCAATTTAGTTTAACCCCCCCTTTACGATTTATAATAACTGCAAAGATTTAAAAGGTTTATAACACCATGCAATGTGGTTATAAGCGGCATTTAAAGTGTTCATTAAGAAACAGTAGCTGTCAATTGTTTGTATTTTTCTATAGTGCTCATTCATTATCAGTTAAAAACAAAAACAAAAAGTTATAGTTTACTTACCTATATCTGCTTACAACTACAATATAGTATTTATTCATGATTTATATACTTCTTAAAAAATCTTATCGGGTGGGGAGGGTTAAAGTAAAAGATGACCTGAATGTGTGTTTGTTTGGCCTGGTGTGAAAGCGGCAAACTGACTGTTGTTTGTGCTCAAGCTTCCCAAAAAGAGAGAAGTCGGTACCACAAAGACAACATCTCCTCCTAACCCTCAGCAGCGATCGAATGCACGCACGCACACACACACACGCACACTGCACAGTCAACACACACACGACTTAAAGAGTATGTGGAGAGAGAAATGAGCTCCAGCTGACGGCAGGGGGAAGGGGACTGAAGTGTTCTGCCGAGTAAGGAGTGTGCGTGTGAAGGGGGAGGAAGAGGAGGAGGAGGAGGGGAAGTATTGGGTTTGCAGGAGGGTGCAGGAGGGTGCAGGAGGGGGTGTGGGGTGCATACCACAGCTTTGCACAGGCTCAGTAATATAGAGTAGTTGATATCCTGACTGTAGACGGAGTTCAGCCGCTCCGCTCCTCCTCCTTCAGTTCCCCCCCCCCCAGCGTCACGTGAAGGCGGTGTGTCTTCATGTGTGCTTGTGTTTGTTCGCGTGTTTCTGTGTGGTAGTTGTTCGGTGGTTCAGTCAGGCCTGTGAAACAGCTGCGACGTGATGTGGTTGCTCCTCCTCTCCTTAAAAAGAGGAGATGGTGGCGCGTCTACCTCCGCCGCCTCCATCCACACCAGTTCCCACTTCCTGTCACGTGGCCGTCGCCTCCAGGTAGCTCTGTAGTTTGCGGACGGTGGACTCGTCCAGTGAAAAGAGGTCAAAGTCAAAGGTGGTGTTGGTCACGTTGAAGTGGCCCGTCTCCTCGATCAGGTTCACAATCTGAGAGCAGAAAGTGATCAGTTATCATTAATAACCTTCAAATAAGCTGGTCCATCAGATCACTATATTGCTGAAAATAACTCAACAACATATTCAAGTTCAAAACTTTAAAAACCTTTCTAAAGAAAGCAATTTAATGCTTAATCATAACAGTCTGATTGAAATCAGAAGGGACATAGAACATTTCTTATTTTGATATCATTTTAATCTAATGTATTTCACGTGGCCTGGACCCTGAAAAGGTGACAAAATAAAATAGACAAATGGATCAACCAAATAAAAATGATAGTTTGATTTAAGTTGAAAGTCCCGCAATGAGACAACAGATATACATACAAGGTTCTCCACTTTTCAAAAATGCATTTTGTATTTATTCCTATTATATTGGATAAGTAGTTCCAATGCAATTTCTAGAACTTGACTTATTAAGTATGGCATGATGTTTATCCTGTGATGGACAGTATGAAGTTCAAACACACACCTGCTGCAGGACGTTCCGCTCCCTTAAAGCCATCAGTCTGCGGTGGAGGTCCACCAGCTCTTCCGTGTACGCCTGCAGAGTGAGCATGGTCAGAGTCAAGCAGGAGCTAAAGAGGTCACAGCTTTTCATTCTTGATTGAAATGTAAACTTCTGTATGAGCATTACTCAGGGTTCCTGCAGGTTTCACCAACTCAAATGTAAGATTTTTTAAGACCACTTTGAATAGAATTTAAGACCTATCTCACGGCAAGAAAGTATGAAGGAAAATTGCTATGAAAGAAGAAATACGTACATGAAATGTATTCATGTTCAACATAAGAACGATGACTGAACATAACAGCATAACAGTACACAGAACTGTGTTAGACAAAAAGTGTGCGTGTGTGTAGTAGGGATGTTAAGATTCACCGATTCGCATCGGTGCACCGGCATATAAACGTTCAAGATGCGAGTGCACCGGTTGAAAGAGTGCACATCGGCTACAGTTTGGGTTGAACTCGCGATGCATCGATGTAGCGTCTTTGCATCGGTAAAAAAACGATTCATTCATATAATATCCCCTCATCCAGTCAGCACTCAGAAGAGACGATCTTTGATCTTTGCGTCGCACTACGGAGGCCGAGAGTCTCAGTTATCAACACACATGGAAGTCGAAGAGAAAGAGAAACACAGCGCACCGAAAAAATACCTACAAATCAAACATTTGGCAACACTTCGGATGTTTTAAGAAAGACGGACAACTTGAAAAATCGCTCGCATATTGATGCCGTGCCGCTTTAAAGTACACAAGTAGTACGAGGAACTTAGCGACGCACATAAAGAGGCGACATGGGGTCTGTGGCTGAAAAGGGAAACCTGAAAGTAAGACATGAGTTAAATCACTCAGTGAGGTGTTATGTCAGAGAGAGTGGTGTTTAGTTTACAGCAGCCTGTGACTGCCAATAATAGTTTAAATGTCTTCCTTACAATTGTAAGCAGTTATTAAATACCTGTTTGTGAAAGGTTATTTGTATTCTTTATTGTTCATATAGAAACCACTGCTTTCTGCTCACTGGTGAGTTAGCCTATGGATGAGTGTTAAGCACATCAGGCTGGCAGCTGTATGGGCATTGCACTATGGTAGTTGTTATTTGCACATTGTTAATCATGGGCAATGCATCCTTAAAGAGCTTACGAAATGAAGGACAACACTATTCTTATTAGGATAATAAATACTATTATTAATGGGAAATCATTTGTCATTGATGACAATATGCCCGCTGTATTTATAAATCGTGATTTATTACAACTTTCCATGCTCGCTTCCGATGTTACACGACTGCTCCGGACCAAACGGCTTTCGCCGGTTAGTTACGTCACGCACGTCACGAGTAGAACCCTTTTTGAATAATACACTTACTATATGGCTGATGTCGGACTCTGGCTCGGATATTTCGACAGAATCGAGTGACAGTGAGTCGTCAATAGACTCGGTGCACTTTCAAGAAGAGGAGGATTTTATTGAAGAGGATGCCGGTGTGGAGTCTAACGTGGTGGAACCATACCAGTTTGAGTCACAGTATTCAAGTAGCGGTAGAGATACAGACGGGAGCGAAAATGGGGACGATGATCCTGGATTTGGCGGAGATCCGGTGCGGCAACAAAACACAGACTGGTAGGCTATATACATTTGACTTTAATTCATAGAGAATTACTAGTCGTAAATATAATATGCCCACGGCTGTGATTGACAACCTGGACAGCCAGTCAGAAGCTAGAATGCCAACCTAGAGAGCCAATCAGAACCTAGAACGGGCTGGCCAGACTATTATATTGTGCATAAAGTTAGATGCATTAGAATGCTAAACTTTTCATGACGGTTTTGGGTGGACCTCTGACGCGGGCCTCGCTCTCTCCCGGCCCAGCCCCTTCAGTTAATGTATTAGCCTACTTTCAAAAACATAAGATTGACAACCAATCAATAGCTCCGTAGTCTGTATTCTATCTATATGGCGCTGGTCTGTAGGCCTATGCAATACAGTGTCAATGTAACTGATTACTGTGAAGAACGTGAATACACGGAGGTTCTTCCCACGGCACCCGAAGCCCCGTTTTCATCATTTCCCCCCCGCGAAATGTCTGGGCAGCTGGTCACCGGCTGACAACGAGCCAAGTCAGAAACTTTTTTTTTACATGTCATTTTGAGTCAGGCTTTATGCTTGTAAACATTGAACAACAAGTAGCGCGGCTTACATTCGCTCTCTCCCTTTTGGAGAATGCATTTCGCCGTCTCTTTAGTGGAGGACTCTGTCTGCATCGGGGGACATGTAGGAATCGGCGTGGTGGCTTGTGCTGGCATTTGGGGTCTTGGCAGTATTGTTGGAACAGCATCTTTGTTCAGTTTGAAATTCTTTTTTAATCCAATTTCCTTAGCGAGCATTGTGGACTGGTCGAAACACGATCTTTCAAAGTGCTGCCCACAAATTGTAGGTTTCATCGACCCCGGGTTACCTGGTTATATGATGAATTGGAAATGGGGGACCCTGATGTAAACGAGACGAAAGTCTTTCTCTGGTCTGCATCCCCTTAACAATTGTATGTTTTGAGCTGTACTGTACTGTACCCAATATACAAGCTGTTAATAAACTTTTCAATCAATCAATCAAGTCCAGCAAAGTCCGCCCTCGTACGACGCACTTGTTTGGTCCATATACGCGACATTTGACAATTTTTTGGCCACAAAAACATCCCATAGCCAGATTTGGAGACGGCCCCACATCCCCATACCACACATCGCTTGCCGATTATTCATCGCGTTTTGTTGTTGTGCATCCTTTGTTTTAATATTTGCTGCTTCAAGGCATTTAAACAATGGTGACTCAGCTGTGTTCTGCTCAGCTGTGTTCTACTCATGACGTCACCGCCGGAAATGACCGAAGTTGTTGTTTCCAGAGCGACGAACGATTGTTACTAACTGACAACATTTGTATGCTGTTATAAATCGTGATTTATTAAAAAATACATCAATAATGAAAAAATCATATGGCCCATTTCACAATACAAATGTAACCTCTATCATATACCAAGCCCACTAACAGGTGCTAATAGCATTTCGTAAGCTCTTTAAATTGTGTGAGGTGTTATACAATTGTACTGTAGCCTACTCTGGAGAGTATGCGCAGTACTAGTAGAGTAGAGAACCAAATATGTAAAGCACTTTTTTGTTAATGTATGATTTGCTGCATATAAGGAATAAAACAAAAATCCTCTGTCGTACCATATTGAAGTATCATTATTTTGCATCGTGTTGAATCACATCGTATCGCCCCGAATCGCATAATGTTGAATCAAATCGTATCGAACTGTAACAGGGGTGAATCGTATCGTATCGCCCGGTGTTTCAAATGTATCGTTAATGTATCGTATCGTTGGCAACGTATCGAGATGCGCATCGCCTCAGTGATGGAGATGCACATCCCTAGTGTGTAGTGCTAGATCAGGGGTGCCCAACCAGTCAATTGCGATCGACCGGGAGATTCCCAGTCGATCGCGAGATGTGTCTAAAAATAGAACAACAATATTCTGTTTTATCGTTAATGTCCTATAACATAATCTTCCTGTGCCAGAATAATGCACTTGAACGCATCAAAGCTTTGCGATTGGCCATTTTCACCAGGCCCAACAACAAGAGCAAGGCTGCTACCATAGCATCTTATCGTGTCAGTCACATTCTTGCGAAACACATGAAGTCTTTCAAAGACGGCGAAGTTGTGAAAGAAGCATTCCTGGAGGCTGCCGACGCGCTTTAGGGGGACAGTAAAAATAACAGTAGCATTTCAACAGGTTTTTGATATAAAAGGCCTTACATTCAGATGATCAAATTTAAGACAATTTAAGACTTTTTAAGACCCCGCGGGAACATCTGATTAGTAACAATATAGGTGGAAAAACGGATGATAAAGTCAAATTAAAAAGAGTCCAGATTGAGGTGTGCATTTAAAGTTAAAATTGTCAAAAGCACTAAAGACTTTTTATTTATTAATTGTTTACTATAAAGAAGGCATCCTTTGAAATCAATCAGTATGGGATTTAAACTTTTCTTTCTCAACAAAATGAATTGAAACGTTTTAATGCGTAAGGATCAATATAGGATCGGTTTACCAGATTTAAAATCATCACTTCATGAATAACCTCGCTACAAAAGAGGAAAATAGATTTCTAGGCAAGGGTTCATAGGCCAGAGTCTGTTTGCACATCTGGATCAATTCACTGTCCAATACTCCATCTTGAATTCATTATGCACTCGCTGAATGTGGCAGAACACTGCATGTATGTGTATGTGAGGTAAAGTGCAAAAGAAAAGTTGTATTTACCCTTCCTACCTTGTCGTATCCCTTCTTCAACACCTTCTCTGAACGAAACGAGGAATCTGGACTCTTTCTGCCTGAAAACCTGCAGACCGGAGAGCAAAAAAAAAAAGAGAAAAAGGAGGAGAGGAATTATAGAAAGAGAGGGGATACAAAGAAGAGAGACAGAGGAAGTGATGTGAGCTATGAGACACATCACATCAATGAAATCAGGGAGTCAATTAAGTGTGTGACTCACTTTGTTGTTGGAGGAGCTGTGTTTCTGGGGGGGGGCGGGCGGAGTCTCGACTGGGGCTGTGCGAGCCGTCACTGCTGTCACTCTCACTGTCCAGGCTGAGTCTGACAGGGGTCAGAGGTCAATCACACATAGACAGAGAAGACAGACATAACACAACTCATGTTTCTTAACTTGCTGCAAATATGGAGCCTGATATCATTCAGTCAAGGAGACACAACAGACATCTACAAATCTACAAGAGTAAACAATACTGAGGAGACAAAACACTGAGTTAGGGACAGTGAGTTCACTGGGGAAGGTTAATCTATCAAAATATGTCAGATTATGTGAAAAAATTCAATTAAATTGTAGTGAAGGGTTGAAAAGGCTTAAGTGTTTAGGAAAAAAATATGCATTTAAGCAGTCACATTATTTTCATGTAGCGAAACGATACATTTTAATCATAATGCTGGAAACAAGATGAAATTGTCGCAGACCTCTTTTATCAGGAGCGCGGTTACATCTGTGTTATTTTTTCAAGGACTACTGTTTTTGACTGATCATCTAAGATGTCATGGGACTTTTTAAGAGACTGACCGTGAGTCACGGTTGGGGGGGTTGGTCTTGATGGGCGTCTCCTCCTCTGAGCTGCTGTCGTCATCATCTGACTCCTCTGACTGGATCTCCTCTACCATCGATCGCAGGGGGCCTGGGAGAGAAATACAGTTGTGTTATATAACAACTACAACCTACTTTGACATGCCCAGATTAATGCTAATCTCTGCTATGAAACAAAGGGAATGAATTTCCTACCTTGCCCTTGTTTCTGTCCCGGCTCAAAGTCAGAATCTGAGCTGGAGTCGGAACTCGAACTGGAGTTGGAAGGACTGGAAGGGGCCGACTGCTGTAAGAGGAGGAGAAGAAGAAATTATGAGAGGGATAACAAGTGAAGAAAGTAATTTACAGAATAGGTAAAAAAGTTGATGGGCTAAAAAAGGTAAATGTGCTGAACAAATCCTGACTACAGGTGATTTTTTTTACATCTGGAGTGTTGTAATTTTCAATTATGGCATTTAATTAGCTCCAATCTCAAAACACTTTCATGCCTCTCAAGGAAATGATTAGCTAGATTCTTAATCAATCAACTGACACAATCTTTAATGGCCAAACACATTGCCTCGTTCAAATGTTCTCTTTTGGGAGCATTAGCCGACTAACAGTCTGAAATATTTAGCTCCTGTGAGGCTGACCTCTGATTTCGACGACGCTTCGTCTTCTGAATTAGACTCTTCAGATTCTGGAACTTTCTTGGGCTCCTTCGGTTCCTGCGTGTCATTTTTGCCTTTGGGCCAGCGACCTTTTTCCTTTGGGGGTTTCTTCTCTGCGTACGGCTGACTGGCTGCCGACGAGGAGGAGACTCGGGGAGAGGTTCCTGTGAAGGCCCCGCTGGTCGGCCCCTTCGGCCCCTCTGAGCTGCCCTTCTTCTTCTTCGCACTGGGTTTGGGAGACTCCACAGTAGAGGGTCGTTTCCCCGGGGCTTTAGACTCTGAGGACCCTCCCCCGCCTCCTCCAACGCCTCCTCCACCCCCCGCCCCCCCTCCTTTAGGGGACATGCCCTCCATCTTTGAATCCTTCAGGGTGAGTTTAGGCTCTTTGAAGGCAGGCCTTGGGTAGGACCTTAACTTCTTCTTTTACTTTGATATCTGACGGCTTTTTAGAAGACGAGGAAGAGGAAGGGTCTCGGCCACTCTTGCTGCTCCCATCTCGATCGCTCTCCCCTTTCGGCGTGGCTTTGCTCTCAGAGTCTTTTCGGGGCCGTTCACGGTGCTCCTTGGTCAGTTTGTGCGGTTTGGGTCCTTTGCTGCTGCCACTCCCCTCTTTGCTGGGCTCCTAGAGAGAGATAAGCAGCATCATCAACAATGGACAATTACACACTCAGCTGCACATCAAAGTCAGGCCAATCTAGCCTGTACTGTCATCATATAATTACTGTGAAAGATAAGTAAAAAATAACACAATTATCTCAAGTAATTCGTCTTAAAAACAGCTTATGCACAGTGCGTGCAGTGGCGGTTCTAGAACATTTTACATGGGGTGGCAAAGGGGGGGCAAGAGGTCATGCCAGGGTGGCATGGGAGGGCGGACCGTACATGGTATTCTATACTGTGTAACCTATTTATTGTTAAATCATGCCCTAACAAGTATTCTTAATGCACAAGAGAAACAAGGTGTTCAGACAAACAAACTCAAATAAAGTATAAAACAGCAGAAAATACTCATGATACCCTAGAATTCTGTTTACTGTAAGTACAGTAAAAGTACTTAGTTATCTCAATCTTTATTTATTTATATAGCACATTTAAAACAACCTTCAGTTGACCAAAGTGCTGTACAGGCAGTAACTACAATATTAAATAACACAATGGGAGAATTAAAAACATAATAAAAAGCACAATAACTAGAAACGTATAAAAAAATTAATTTAAAAAAAACACATACAAATATAAAAATGTAATGTTCAACTAGTATTAAATTAGTTATACTTAAGTACACAAATTACATCACCCATCTCTTAAGAGAGCTAAAGGTGACCTGTGCAGCAACACATTTCTATCAATATGTGTCAATACTAAGAGCCGCAAGATTGTGCTGCTGTAATGGATTATGTATGCAAGGAGGATAAAAACATACCATGTGGTCCAGCTGGAGTTTCATCTGCCTCCTGATCCCTGCCTCTGTCCCTCTTTCTGACACTTCATCTTATTCCTCACATTTCTTCTTCTTCACTAATGTCTTCATCTCCTCCTGGCTTCCTCCTGATCTCTTCAGTGTACTCTCTTTTCCTTTTCCTCTTTCTGTTCGTCCTGATCACTTCTCAGATATGTCTTTGTGTTGTTGTTGAATCACTCCAGCTACTCTGGCCTGCAAGAGTCTACTTGTGAAAAGCACTGGTACAAATGCTTGTATAACTTTACACGTTAGGGCCATGTAGCTGATAAGTAGCATGTAATAAATATAAAATCAGAAGGTATTTATCAAACTCACACAGGCAGCTGTGTTTAGATCCAGTTTGACGGTAAACGATGTATCCTGGTTTCATTTATCAGCCTCATTGCTGCAATGTGTAATTTACATTGATTTAATAGTACCGCATAGTTTAGCAAATAAAGTGATCGATCTCCCAGCTAGCGCTGTCTGTGTAGTATTTTGTAACGTAACGCCCGTCGATTCAAACGGCAGCACTTTATTCATATTTTGTTTCAAGCTTTCGTTCTTAGTAAAAAACAAAACTAGTGAAGGGGAAATGCTCCCAGGGGAAGCTGATCCACCTTCAGGTGCTGGGACAGCTCGGTCTCTCTGCAGGGCCGTAGCTGCGTTTTTAACAGGCCTAAGATGATGTTTAAAATGATTCACTTTTAATGAATGTACTGCTTGTTTCATTGCTTGAGAAGCTTGTGGACATAGTGTAGGTTTGTTTCTACAAGTACAGCTTAGGGACACAAAAGTTAGGGGGGCAGCCGTAGATCCGCCCCTGGCACTGTGCAATAAGAAGACTAAGATGCTACAGCTGAGACTGTACTTTGGCACAGTTGTGTTTTGAGCTAAATGCTAAAGTAAGCATGCTAACATGATGATGTTTGACGGGTTTAATGCTTACCATGTTCAAAATCATAGTTTAGTCTGTTAACAAACTAACGTTTGCTAATTTGCAAAAAAACAAAAGGCTGAAGTCGGGGGATCATCAAAGTTAGTAGGATTAATTATTTGGTAACCATTCATTTCTTACCAAATTACGCTGAAATCCTTTCAATAGTTGTTGAGATATTTTAGCCTGGGACCAAACTTGTAGACCAACTCAAGGCCCTCATTTTAGATTTAGTGAATTCAAGGCCCTTTATGAACGCTGGTTGTAGACTCAATACAGAGACCAGAGTACATTTTAGAGGTTGGCTGTCATGACTTTTTCTGTAATCAGCAGATGGACACAGCTGGACGACACCAAGTCCAAGCCAAAGCTCGACGTACACCCACTCATGGTACAATTAAAAAGTGGACTGAAGAAACATGCATTTCTATGTCAAAAATGGGGCATTTAGTTTACATGATGAAGTTTTGTCATAAGCACAACCTATGTATGTAGTAATTTACCAATGTGGGTCCTAACGTTTTGTAATGACCCAAAATCAGATTGTGTCAATAAAGAATATCACATCTTCAATACACTAAGACGAATACACTAAAACAACTATACAAAGCTACGAATAAAATACGAAGGGCAATTGAATTTCATTAGATCATAAAGACCCGCCCACTGCCCTGGTCTGTGAAAGGTTCAGACCAAAACTGTGTCAGGAGTGGAAAATGTAACAGGATCAGTTTCCTCTTTTATTCTGATATCTCTCGTCTCCTAGCAGATAAGTTCTCTCAGTAATTCTGCGTACAGAGATGGTTATGATAAGAAGACGGAGTCTCTCTGATCTCAAGACCAGTTCAATGCTTTTGTCAATGTTCATTTAGACATTTGGCTTTTTATCTTTCAATATAATGTCATATGGCAGTTTGGCTTAAGTTCTCCCCAAAAAAGAGAAAGCTGATCATGTTAGGGAACTAATTAAGATATTACCAACCTTTGACACATGAGAGGTCTTGGTCTTCTTGGGGTCTGAGAAGGCGGAGAGAGGGATGGTGGGCAGCATGGGGTAGTCAGGACTGGGCCGGGACACGGCTTCAGCCCCCTCTGGAACCACCATTACCTGGAGATAAAGAGACAAGAGTTATGGAGCTGTACTATTGTATATACACTGTCAACTCTCATGTAGTGTCAGGGAGCCTTTACTCAATTCCACTGAAGACAGAAGCAGGTTATTTTTACCCCAAATGTTATGTGACCCACAGTTGTCTACAGCTTGAAATCATCAGTACAAAACAAATATTTTACACAATACCGGCATACACATTTGAGAAGTTAACTACAAAAATCCTATAATTGTGGTCAGAAAACATACTTCAAAAGGAAACAGTATCCATCACGTGTACTCTTGTTAATAACATTTTAGTCCTCAGATCATCATAAAGCAAAAATGTATAAACACCAACATTACTGATCTGTCACTAAGACTTTATGGTGTGCAAAATCTTTTTTGAAATTGGTGACTGGCTTTGAGATAAACTGACTGCAACTTAAATCAATTCACCTTTAGATTCAATTTTGGAATTTTTTCAGAAACGTTATCAAATACTGTTGTTCTCAATTGAAAATACAAGGTGTGTCTTGTGGTGGTTTACTTACACTCTGATTCCTTATAAGTAGTTACATTAACAGAATGTCTGCGGGACTCAACAAGTGAAATTTAGGTTTGACACATAAATGTATGATGAGTAACCAGTAGGGAGACAAAGGCCTATAACATTATTTTCTCATGATAAACTATGTATTACAATTATTACGGACAAGTTATAGAAAATGTATTGATGTATTAAGTATTTAAATACAATAAACGTTTTTGTTTAAGTTGACGCTGGTTTGTGACAGTGTTTGCTACCTGTCTAATGGAGGGTTTAAAAGCCCTCTACATGCAGAATTGAGTGTCGCAACACTCCTACTTTTAGTGTTTGTTTAATGCATAACATCTCCCAACAACCTGCAATTGCTAACCAAAACGTTTCAAAACTAACATTACCATTAGGCAGGCAGGAGAAGAAAATGCTGAAATGCTTTCGATGCCTGCAGAAAGCGTAAATTGAGGATAAAGCGGCGGCTTCACAACTCGTGATGAAATACATCACGTGGTACTCTAGTACTATTAACAAGAATAGGGTTTGCTATTGACTCTAGTCACTCATTAAGCCATCAGCCCAGTGTACCAGCAGCCTCACCCCTCCAGCTTTGATCAGCTTTCTCCTGAATTCTTTGGTGGGGTTGTTGAAGGTGAGCTTCTCACAGCGCAGGTGGTTGACGGGTGGGTTGCCTTCCAAGTTGAGAAATAGGTCGTAGTTGAAACACACCTTTTTTGGCTCCTCCTGAAGTAAGACAACAGTATAAAAAGACATGTTATTAACCCACTCTGACAGCCAGTGTGACACAAACTAATGTTGTGTTTGTCTTTCTGCATTAAACTGATCCATTTCATAACAAAAGATAAAGGCTGAATTAATTAACAGGAAGTAGGGCTGCTCAATTAATCGTATTTTAATCGCAATTACGATTATGGCTTGCAACGATTACGAAAACATCGTAATCGAAATAAAACGATTATTTTTTTATTATTAAATTATTTATTTTTTTATTGGTTTTTCAGTTGAATTATACTTACAATTCAGGGTAATCAACTGTTACAAACATACTGTCCAAAAATATTTTCTCCAATAAATTGATGTTTTCAAAGTAAATGGATAATCGTTTTTAATAATCGTGATATCAATTATTGACCCAAATAATTGAGATTATGACTTTTGCCATAATCGAGCAGCCCTACCAGGAAGTCAATAAAACAGATAGACGTAGCTGGAGGCGACGTGCTGATAAGAATCAACTAACATTCCTGAGAAACACTGGAGAGAAGTCGGCAATTACAGCTGCAGAAAAGGCATCGAGACATGCTTGAGAAACATAAACGTCTTAATTAAATCAGATGGATTAATGGCTGCTGATATTAACTTCTCTAGTCTTTTAAGTATTACCTTGATCTTTTTACAGACTTGTCCAATGTGTATTAGCACGTAGGAGGAGGATGTAACGTTCTTGGCTGCAGTTCAGGGGTTTAATATTATAAAGACCTGCATGAGACAGGTCCACTAATGTGCGCATTTCTCTTAAGCACCGTCCTTATCTTATAATGAGGGTAAAGTGGGTCTTTCTTTCATCATTCATTTTAATGGCTTCATTTCCCTCACTTAGAGAGAGAAATGCTCCTCTCATAAAAGTTTAACCAACACAATGGTGCTCTTTGATTGGCTAAGTGCATGTATAATAACTGCTACAGGACAGTGTGTTAGTGCGGACCTCCAGAATCAAGCCATTCACAAAACAAATGGTCCAAGAAGGATTTTAAACCATCGCTGCACAGCACTTATACAATCTACATGCACTTAAAGTAATCAGATTATTCTAGCCTTTGGACAATAACCTGATTTCAGAATCATCATGTAAAAAGGAACAACCCGTTTTCTTTAATCAAGTTAACGAGTTAACCTGGTTACCATGACTGGATTCCAGCATATAACAGGCAGTCTATGCTCAACCTTCTTCCGTTTGTAAATGTACTAAATCCATAATAATTGCAGACTCCATCATGTACCACCCACAACATGTATAAATCAATGTACAAACACAAACCATATTCAATTCGCAACTCATTTCACTTATCCTTTCTTATATATTTTGTAAATATATGCGAAGACAGTCACTACACAGATTACTATCAGTGTCCAGTCTATCTCACCTTGTTCTTGAAGTAAACCTCAATAGGCATGAGGAAGCCTGCGTAGCCCGACTCCTCCACTTTGTACGGCGGCTCCTTGCATACTGCAGACAGACACATGCATGCCAACGGCAGCAATTCGATTACTCACATTTCATTCATCAATAGACTGAGCTCTAATAACTGAATTCATTAATAAAAGTCTCTCCCTAAAATGAAAAACAAGTTATGTCACATTAATTTGAGAACAACAGTCTTGGCAAACAGTAAACTACCATGAATTCAATGTGAGGAACAATAACCTGAAGATTGAAAACAGAACCTTTTTTCATAATTATTATGATAATGAAAATGCTGTCCACTTCGCCCAGTTTAAGATTTTGTTTACTTAAACACAAAACCCTGTGAAACATACAAATCAATCATTAATTGGATCTAACTTGCTTAGGGATTTACAGGATGGACAGTGAAGACACATTTATAAAAAAGCTAGAAATAACAAAGACAAGAAATATGATATTTTTTCCCGGCTATGTGATATCCACTAGTCTCACCTCTCTTGGGTTTGGGGAAGCTATCGTGGAGGCGGAACACGACCTTCTCTACAAAGTGCTGGATGTCGCCGGTTTCTGGCCCTCGGACAAACACCATCCAGTCGTGGGTGAAGCCTTCTGATGTCACCTTCTTCCTCAGCTGGGCTCTGTGGCCCAACTCCAGCTTCACCTGCACCGTGCACTGAAAAGAGTCAAATACTGTTTACTACTACACTGGACCTGTAGACGTAGGAAAATATATACAAGCAGACGATGTGCTCAGGCAAAATTCTTCAGATCAAGAAGCTGATTGAAATGATGAAAAAATAAGCAAACAGCAGGACATTTCAAATCAATTGTCAAATAGAAATAATAAATGCCTTGAGGTTTTCTTCCTCTGGTGAGTGTTTCAACTGCAAGTAGATTCCTGTTTCCTCATCTTAGAAAAATGTATAACTTAACTGGTCTGAGGTTTATATGTCAAATAAATGCAACCTCAAGATTTGAAATAATGTATTATTATGCAGATTATGTTTCTGACATTTCACAGAGAAGACAATCAGAAAATAATCACTTTGTCCAAAAAGTAAGTAGGTCAAACGATTGATTGTTTAAGTACAAATTATTTCATATTCATTGCTTAATTTATCAGTTAATTCGGCTCTAGGAAATATCTAGAGTTCTTGTTTTTTTCGCAAGTTAATTAAACATTTAAACCTCTTTTGCTTTCTTTTTTTAAGTCATTTGAGATTGTTTTAATTTAAGATAGTACTAAACTTAACACAAAGCAATCAAGTAAATGATCGGCAGATTAATCAAGGAAGAAAATATCTTTTATCCCAGCTTTCTGCTACCGAGTGCTCTATATTGCCTAAAAGACATTAGCTGAGGTTTCTTCAGAAACAATCAAAGCATGGCACGTATTGAGATTAAACCAAGAGGCCATTATTTATTAGTTTCTGATTCCGCCTTGAACAAAAAACCTCTTAATCTCTATGTTGGAGTGTGTGGACTCTCTTCTAAAGAGAGCAAAGCTGAACACTTGTTCTGGACAAACACAAAGCTGGACGGTGTCGGGACGCTCCCTGAGGAACCACAGCAGCGATAAGCTGCCCGGCCGACTCATCTCAAAAGGTTTGTGCAGAAGAGGGGCACATTTTTGGGCTCTCTCTGCCAAGAACAATGACAGCGATGGGACAAGCTAATACACCACCGCGCTGCTGTGACTGGGTGATTGGCATGGCAAGTGAAGAGGCTATGGAGATGGGAGTGTAGAAGGGAACAAGGAGGTAGGGGGGGGGGAGACGAGAGGGGACAGAAAGGCACTTATGTCCAGGGGAGGACTGAAGAATGTGGGGATTTGGCCACGGCACAGAGTAGTTTGTGAGCTGGGACTGAGTGGGGGGGATTAGATGGGACAGGATTGAGATGAGCTAGTCTGGCACTCCCTGGCTAACTCCTCTCTCTCTCTCCTCT